GCCTGTAATCTTTGCGATCACCGGTAGAAGAGAAAAAGCGCTACAATATGTCCCATGAGAGTAGCGTGTACCGACCTGTCGGAACTAAAGGCCAAAATAAATGCCTTGTTTCTTATCCTGGGGCTAATGACATAACGGCGAAAACATTAGAACGACCGTCTCTGACGCAATTTTTGCCTTAGCGGATGACTGCGATGCAGAAACGGTAGCCATAAGGTTATTTGCCAAACATTGTACACGTAGAGGACGTTCATTCACGCCCCAAGCTCACTTGGTCCGAGTTAGGCCCACATGTTCTTACCCGAAATTTGCACATCGCGTTGAGGCGATAATTTCGGACTCACTGATACGCTCCTTCCCCTCCTCTTCTTCGGACACAACCAGAATACAATTCCTCCCCACCATCAACCTCCCCGCACCTCTTTTTGTCATTTTTCATTGGTGTTTTTCAACCTTCGCTGCCCTACCGACCTGTTTATGAATAATCAAAGTCACAAGATTTCTGTCTTTGACTTTTTCAACACACCTGACTTATTTGCTATCACCAGCTATTAATAAGTCGATTAGGGCTACACGCCTAGATCCGAGCCCAAGTCGATTGATCATGGAGTAATGGCTATTCCCTAAGCAGTAGACCACGCATTTTACCAGAGGCTGTAAATTTTCAGTCACTTGGGTGTGGCGTTAATCGGAGCTGAGAAATTACCATGTTCGAGGATTAGGTGACTTCAGTTAAAACCGCTAGTATGCGATTCGAGTTTTGCGTATCACTGGTTGATAACAGCAAATTATGTTAGGAATTGACACTGCAGTGTCTTTTTTAGTAGGTTCTCTTTATACTTGCTTGACAGTGCCGTGTGGTCCTCTGCGTGAGCCATTGACGTTCACCTTCAAGATTAAATGTAACCCCCGTGTTCCATCCAGCAGTGAGTGTAGATCGAAACCCGCCACTTTTACGTGATTGAACATTCCAAATTTCACTCGATTTGACGTGTGTCAGTGCCATTTTGATGAGAACCCAGCTCCGTGTTAACTCCGACGCCCAACGTCGAATTGGA